AATTGAATCAATTCTGAGACCCCAAGGCCAAGCCCATGTCTTGATTAATTTAATAAAAAGTAGTCAAAATTTTCTCGGTTCGAACTCGGGCTCACATATTTCTATTATTTATTTTTCCTCCTTCTAGCGCCCTTTAGTTTTTTGAACACAGTTGGGCCATCTTTTATTTTTTTACCAAAAAAAAATAAAATTATAGGATGCATCCTATCTAATCCATACCAAAACTCATTTCATCCATGGGCGTGCGGTTCGACTTTTTTCCCTCGTGAGAGTCTTTCTTTCTATCTGGGAGTCTCTTCTCATCGGTTGTGTGGGTGTATCTAATTTCGATAAATTTTGAAGCCGCTGACCCTAGCTATGGTTGCAGTTGGTGGCAGTCCATTCCTCCTATCCTTTGTCTCTTTTTTTCTTCTCAGATGTTGCTTTTCTCCCTGCTCCCCACCTCGATTCGGCTTGTCCCTCACACTACAATGGCGTTTGTCATCTTCGATCATCTCCGTTTCGATCTGCAGTCACTATTTACAACGATTTGTTACGACTCATCGAGAAAGTGTGTAGAGCTCTGATGCTCCTACCGGCTCGGGTGTTCACAACACCACCACTTTCTCTCTGGCTATTGCCTTTGTCAGCAGCTTTGCATGTGTACTGCCACGGGCTTCTTGCACTTAGTGATTGGTGTTTTCCTTTGTGGTTGCGTTCGAAAAGTTGCTTGTGTCTGGTTGATGCGACTGGCAAGGTGTTCGTCGATTGGAGGCCTGGGATCTTGCAGATCTTGTTGGTGCACTATAGTAGAGGTGGTGGAAGTAGACATCTAGGGTTTTTGTTGCTAGTTTCTGATTTGGGCCTGAATTTGTATTTGGGCTCCTTTTTGTTTAACTTAGCTGGCCCAATTTTGCTTGTGCTTATTTGTCTTTGGACCTTTGTTGTGTAAATTTGGGTTATTGGTAATGGAAATTTACCTTTGTTCCAAAAAGAAAAAAAAAACTCATTTAATCCGTACTTAATCTAATTTTGTAAGTCTAATGGTGTAAGAGTTGTAAATTAAATCTTCAAAAATAGATATTTAGTACTACGGTCTAGTTGTATTTCTCTTCACTCGTAAGGGAGAAGTTTTAAGTTCTATTCTCCCACCAAAGGCAAATTTGAACTACATTATTGCTAACCCATTGTAAGTGTTGAGCAAAAATTGTACACAATATGTAAACAAATAATTCACTCGACACGATTTCACCCTCGTTCATTTTTCGAAGAGGGTTTTATTAATTTGAGTTCGACCCATTCTAGACTATGTGTCTATTAATTACAATCCTTATTAAAAAGGAAAAATCCTTTGATTCCAATATGAATAAATCGTAACTTGAGGATTTGGGTGTTTGTTTGATTTTGCAACTGCACCTAGGTTGAACCCTAGATTGCCTACGTACCCTCTTGAGGGATCAAGTCACTCGTGGTTCATGAATTTGTTGAGGTTTGATGCCTTGTGTAGTTTAGGCTCTTGCAGGCGAGGACTTTGAGTCACTTGGAGCTATTGATGCCTTGTGCAGTTTAGGCTCTTGCAGGCGAGGACTTTAAGTCACTTGGAGCTATTGATGCCTTGTGCAATTTTAGCTCGTGCGGGTGAGGACTTTGAGCCATTGGAGCTTTTGGTGCCTTATGCAGTTTTAGCTCATGCGGGTGAGGACTTTGAGCCATTGGAGCCTAATGCAGCTTCATGCCATTTAAGACTTGATGCGGCTTTGTGCCATTTGAGTCTTGTCCCAGCTTCGTGCCATTTGAGTCTTGTCGCGACTTTGTGCCATTTGTAGCGGTTTTGTGCCATTTGAGATTTGATGCGGCTTAAGTCCACTAAGTTGAGGTGGTGAATTCATCAAGCTTGGTGCCTCCATCACGCTATTGGGCTCTGCCCATTTATTTTGGCCCAAAGTTATATTTTATAAGGCCCAAATTGAGATTGTATATCTTGCCGTGTTAGACTCCTTAATGGTTTGAAAAGAATGGGATCTAATTTGAAATGGCACAATTTAGATTGACATAAAGAAATTTTGTCCCTCGTGACCACATAAAATCCCATAGCTCCATTGATCTCCACGTGATCTTTCTCATTTGATTTGTTCTATAGCAAGCAAGTTTTGTGTTCTTATTTATGGTGCCAAGTTTTGAATTGGCATGCCTTCTTATAGAATTGGAATCCTACATAAGTCAGCCAAATGAAGGCAGAAGGGCACTAAAGTTTTGTTGGCTCTTTCTTCCCTTCTGAGTTCAACTTAAACAGGTCTCTTCACGGGATTAGGATCCCATAAATCTTCTTGCACCTTCTCTTTGTCTCCACCAGTCCTTTAATTTATTATAATAAATATGGCAAGTCATATTTATGAAAATTACTTTCTTCATCTCCGCATTCTTTCGACATCAGCATAGCTTTTGTGTAGAGACCTGGTCTTTTGCGGGTAACATGTAGACTTGGGCGAAGATTTGTGCTTTTGTAGAGGATATGACGGAATTTTTGTTGCTTTGTGTTTCTCTGGTGCTCTGAGAAGCCCTTGTGCTTTTCTTTTATGCACCGTTCTTCCCCGTCAATGACTTAAACAAGCTCCTTTTCCGCTGGTGACGCGGGCCACAACCTGCATTATTTTTCTTTGCACCTGCTTTCTTCTTCAATGCCAGCATCAACTTCGGTTTCTTTTGAACTCCGAGCGGCGATGATGGGGATGCTTTCTTTAGTCTTCCATTGCAGGTTTATCGCTTGCTTCGTCTTTTCTCTTGTTCACCATTTTTGAAGTTTCTTTAATAAGCAAGGACCACTTTTTGTTCTCCCATGCCGAAATGCTACAATCACCGGTAGAGACCTTGATGATCTGATTTGTATAGCGTTAGTTGAAGGGCTGCTGCATATGTGAGCACGAACAACGGGATGAGTTGCTTTCTTTGTCTTCATCCTCTGTAGGTTTAGATTTGTTGCTGCTGCAAATGATGGTGATCGGCGGCTGCAGGTGCAATGATCATTTAGACTTGGTTGGAACTTCACAAGGTGGTTGGAACTTCACAGGGTGGTTTAGACCACCCACAAGAAATTCATGGGACTAACGGCAGTGACAAGGAGTGGAGAGCGTCTAGCCATAGAGTTTCGTCTCAAGCTCCGTCGGGTGGTCTGGACCACTTAAAAATTTACGGCAACCACCTCCAGTTTTGGTTCAAAGGAATAGGAGAGGTTGAAAAAGCAAATTGCTTTTTTTTTTTCCTGCAAAGTAAAGAGAAACAAAACAAAACACAAAGGAAAGATTAACCCAAAAAATGGATTTATACCTATTGAGTCCTTGCTTTTCCTTTTTGTCGTCCACCTCTCCTCTGTACTTTTCTGTTCCTTCACTTGGAGTTCTTCGTCTTTGTTTATGACTGAGAGAGATTCTTGCTCACTTCTCACTTCCTGCGCACTTTGTCTTCTGGAAACCTTCTTGAATTTCAGCAGAGTTTTGGTTCTCCTTTCACTGCACATCTCTTCTATCTCTCAGTCGTTTGCCGTCTCTCCCGTATGTCTATTTTTTCTGTCTCTGTCCTCCCCTTTTCCTCGACAGAGACAAGTCTTTTATAGACTTTTTCTTGACGGTTTGGATGAAGGAAAGCGGGTGTGGGTAGTTGAATTGGAGCCACCTCCATTATCTGTTGTAGTTTTTATCCACTTATTTTTTATCAGAAAAGGGCTTTAATCCATATTTGGACTTTAGCTACTTGATGTTTGGGCATTAGGCATCAATGTTTTTTTTTTCTTGGAACGAAGCCCAATTTAATTTTTCGGGTGGATTTTTTTTTATCTCAATAGTGAGGTTACACCCACTCCTCATTTTCTTTAGAGCATTTCCACCATGTGCTCCAGCTCGAGGGACAGGCTCAGGAACAGGGCTTGAATGCCCGAGTGATGTAGCCCAGCGTGTGTTGGCGAGCGAGCCCGAGGGAGAGGCCCGGCGATTTGTGCCGGCCCAAGCGCTCGAAGGGAGTATGATGTCCGTTGATGTCAGGACGACGTCAGTCACAATATAAAATTAATAAAAATTAAAAATATTAATAAAAAATTAAAAAAAATGAAAACCCAGGCTTCAAACTCAACGGCTCTCGCCGGAGTTTGTCGCCGAGGCTGATGATACACCCACAGACAAATGGCAGAGACTAAACCCAAGGGTTTCAACTCGAAACACATAAAAAACCAGAGAATAACTCAAGCAATTGAAGTAGGGTAATAGCATCATCTGGGTTTGAGCAATGGAAGTTTGAAGCTCTCGGCTTCAATGGTGGATCACCCAAATGGTGCTCTGATGATGCATGCAAGGATATATTCGAGTTCCTCTCATCCACGGGATTGAGATTTCAGAGTTTGTTAGTTTGATTTGCTTCGGTTTCAAAGAAGAGGAATGATAGAGCTCTCGGAGCTGGAGAATGAGAATGAGAGAGATTAAAGAGAGAGGTTTCAGAAAGGAGAGAGAAGGGGAGTTGGCAGAGAGAGAAGGGGAGTTGGCAGAGAGAGAGAAAGTGTAAGGGAAATGAGAGAGGGCAGGTGAGGGAACTGGTCAAATAAAAGGGACAAAGAGAGTGTTCTTGAAAAAAAATGAAAAGGAAAAGGAATAGGAAAAAAAATTAAAAATTATTTTGTATTATTTTATAAATAAAAAAATACTAATATTTTATTACCTATTGATAGGGCTATTGAAGTGCAACGGTGGAGATGCAAAAGACGGTTACTGTTCATTAAGAGCAGTTACTGTTCACTAGGTGGATAGCATAGTATATTGCCTAGGGGAGCTTTTCCCATGGTGGAACTGCTCTTAGTGTAGATAATATTGTTTGTTTAGAAAAAATGAAAAAAAAAAAAAAAAAACCCCACTTAGTAATATGGTTTAGTAGTGTTATTCTTTACTTGTAAGTGAGATGTCTTAAATTCAATTATCGTCAAAGACGAATTCCACTTAGTACATATAATGTCCTTTGTTCAAAAAATAAAAAAATAAAAAAATAAAAAAACTACAAAATTCAATCCACCGTCTTTGGGCCCGGTCTCCTTCGGCATACGTTGTACAACGGCAAAGCCCCCCTTCTTCCTCCAAACCCGTTCCCACTCTTCGAGCTTCCCTTTAAACAATCCCTGAAACGCGTTTCACTTAACAGTTATTGAAGGTAATCTCCCAAAGCTTCAACAGTGTTGCTGGATTATATTTCAATTTGTGATGAAATACATATGAAACCTACCTCACCTACCACCTGTTTGACGAAATGCGTCTGTCAATCTCTTAATTTCAATTGGGTATCTATGAATCATGTTTTTCCCCTTTTTGGTGGCCGTTCAAATCGTATTATGCAACTGGTTGAGCTCAATGATTCAACATGATTAAAGTTTGTTATTAATTTATTCATGCTGTGTGTGCCCTTATTGCTTACTGTTTGTGTTATAATATTTTTTGCTCCATTGTTACGGCTCAGTTCGAAAACTCAACCATAAGGACCAACTGGGCATGTTTGAGCTGCGTTTACCTATGACTATTGTGTGCATGTTTATGTTGCTTTCTGGAAAGAGTTTCTGAACTTTGTGGTTTTGATTACAGAGCTAAAAACATCTTAATACTGAAGAAGGATGCCGCATAGAACTCGGCCAATGACTGCGCTCTTGGTGTTTACTGGACTGAATATTGCACTAGTTTCAACCATTACTCCAGTCTATGATTTCGTCTGCTTCCTTCCGTATTGGGAAAGAAGGGTAAGTTTTCATTTGTTGCTTGTGAAGCAAACCATCTTCCAGAGGAAAAAGAAATTGGCATTGAACTTTCTTTAGGTTAGATGATCACTGGATCTTCCTAACATCATCAACAATGTTCAGCATACACATACAGCATGCAACTTAAAATAAAGTATAGTCGATGGCTTACTTGATATTGTATAACTATGTTTGCTTGTACTGTTGTACTTGATGTTATTATATTCATTTACAGCATTAATAATATCTTCATCTTAATGGGTTTGTACCAGTGAGGTGAAAGTTGTCAAACCTAAATATCATTTTTGGTTTTATTGTGTGTTCAGCATAGGGATAGTTTTGTTGATTGAAGCTTTCTGGTGTCATCACGAAAGTATCTCTAAAAACTAATGGTGGCATTATTGGAATGAATTTGGGAAATTAGAAAATGCTCACTTATTATAGTTGGATGATTACACAAAGTTTTTCTGTTCTTTTCCACATACCGAGAGGAAGGCTTGTCCGCAAGTTCTTGCTTGACCAACTTAAGTTTGGGATATGCGAGCTATTAATTTCAATGGTGTTCTCCTGTGGGTGGGAAGCAAACTTCTAGAATGAGAAATAAAATTTTAGTAGCTGGTGTGTTCTAAAAATGAGAAAAGGAAATACTTTTGGAAATCTTAAGTTCTTGACCCAACTAACACTTGTAAAACATACGAGTCCCATCAAACAATCTTTTTTGAGAAAAAGTGGCAGAAAACTTGACCAAAATATGATTTATTCCAACATTAAACATATTCTTTAAGCCTTGACTAGGCACAAAATTATTAATAGGCTCCCCATTGTGAGAATGGACTTGGGAATAAACAACTGTATTCCGACAAGACCTTTTCTTAGTTCCTTTCTTTTATAAGGATTAGGATTAGATTTTGCTTTTCTATTTCTGCTTTAAACTTTCTATTAGAATTTCTTTCTTGGATTAGGTCTAGTGTCCTTTTTCCATTAGGTTTAAACCCTTATAAATGCCTGTTTTATGACCATTTTGTTTTTCTTTCATTTTTTTAAGAGAGAAAGAGAGAGTACATGGAAGGATGGATGAATATTGTAGAGGGAGTGGTAGGAAGGAGGAAGGAGAAATGCACATGGAATGGCATAAAAAATGAAAACTAAAGACTAGAAACCATACCTACTTAATTGTTTTTGTTTTTTGGTTTTCATGTTCTGTAACATTCTATTCTTTCTTCCACATCATTCCCATCACCCTTCTTCTATCCTTATTCATGCCATCTCTTCTCCCCTGTATTTCCTCGTTATTACTAATCGAGAAGAAAAAAACTAAAACGAAATAGTTAACAAAAAGCCCCATAATTGGTGAAGGATCTTTATTATTGTTTTCCCTAAGTGTATAAAACTAAAAGATGCAGTTTGAGCCTAGAAAGAATGTTATGAATTCACTAGATTTCTCCAGCTTTTTTAACTTGTAGACTTGCAGTGAGCTATACTAAGAACTACACTTCTTGGTTATAAATTCAAAGATACGAGTCATGTGGTACTGTTGTTCTCCTGTGTAATTGATAAAAGAAATGACTATTTAACATCTGCATAACAGAGATAAGTTCTCTTCGATTTCTGCTGGGAGGAAAGCCTAAGGGACCTAGGAATTTTTGTGTTATGTGGTAGGTACTAAGTACTAATATGAGGAAAATTTCAGGCCGCAAAAAATGAATACAAGAATTTTATTTATTATATATTTAGAATGTGTTTCAGCTAGCTGCAGCACAGATTTTATGGCCTTTCTTAATGTATTGGGATGATGTTTATAAACCAGTCTATGCAATGCATACCCAATCTAAACCACACTTTTCTGAAATCTGAAAACCATATCTCCTGTTCATGATATGCTATGCAAATGGTCAATTTGCTTTCTGCATTTTGTTCCCATGACTGTTGTACTTTGTCTTGTTTGCACTAGCCAGACTGTTCAACAAAATGCACGCCAACCACAGTACTTGTGGCTGTGTGAAAACTTGATTACATGCATATTTTATGGGTTGTATAATATTGAAGGGAAAGCTTTTTGTGTGCATGGTTTGAACTGGTCGATATTGGTGAAGGTTATCAATGTCAATTTTGAAATCTTCAATAACCAATCAAACCTTCTGTCATGATAGATGAATTGCTAAGATGTTATTCTTATCAAATTCTAATTGCAAGGTGTTATGTTCTTAGTTTTTCACTTTTAAATATATTTTCTTTGTCATCTACCATTTGATTAAATATTGAAGTTTAAACCACTTTGATTGGATTGGATTGGATTGGAATGGATTGAGTCAGTGAGTTGGTTGCACTCATCTCATATTCTTTTTCTTCTTTGCAGAGAGAACGGCATCATCAGGAACGTGAGGCTACCATAGCAAATGGCCTTACATCAAGATAGAAATATCTAAACGTCTTCAGTTACAGGTTTTACGCTTTTCTAATGTTTAATGCAGTTTGAGGTGTGTTCTATTTATCTAAGATTTTACTAAACAGAGATAAGAAGGTATATGATTCTTTAGGATGCCTACTTATGGATGTTATCTCCGTATATCTCATCTTCTAATTTTGAAATATGTTTGGATACAACCTCAAAGATTTGTAGGACATCACAGTGAGCATACAATGGAATGCTCTATACCATATATGCTCTATGCAAACTGTAACATATAAGTCCTTGGGCTTTACAGATCTGGTTTCTCTTGCTTTACATACTGATTTCTGAACTCATATGCTTGGTTTGCAAGATTTTCAATGTTGGTTCAATGTTTCTGCTTACTAGATCTTTCTGGGCAAGCCTTTTTCTATTGATCAGAAGGTACATGCAAGGTATCTCAGCCAAGTTTGGAAAATAGGCTTACAATTGGAGAATGAGATAGAGAGAGGAGAGAATGAGACACAAACACGAAAAACATGACACAAATGCCAGGTTTACTACGTTGGATGCAACAAACGTTTATATGCTAATGTACTAGTCCAAACCGCTTTTTCTGACCAACAAACATAGACAACTCGGGCTGTTATGATATCAAATGGTCCGATCTATTTTTGCACACATGTTACACTCATGACTAAGAAAACCTATATAGTTAGGGTTTTATATAATGTGATAATTAATAAAAGTTCGGAGCTTCACGACACGGAAATGTACTCAAAGTGATAGAAAACGTGTGTTTTGGTTACACTCTCCTTTTCTTTTTGTGGTTAAACGTAAAGATCGAAATGTGTAAAAAGGGTTGGGGGTGGTTGGGAAGGGCCTAAGTTTACCTTTTCCTGGGAGGCCTTGATGAGTTGGTCCAACATACCTTGAGCCTCCAAGCATCCTATGTCTACGTACGCTGCGGGTCAGACAGGAAGGATGCTATGAAGGGTGAAGGGGAGAAGACTGAACTGATGGTTGTCGGTAACATACAACGTGCTGCCATTGCTGAGACGGTGGATGAACAGGAACTTGTGGCTGAGCAAGTCATGGCCTTGATCATCTCTACGGGTAACGAGGGTAAGGCTTTAAAAGTTTCTGATTTCTGTTGTTAATAATATTTGGATAATTAACTCCGGTGCGCTATTGCACATATGACATTTGATTCTAAACTTGTTGGAAACATAAGAACATCTAACATCTACTTAGACTGATGTTACCACGGCTGATGGTGGTGCCTCCACTATTCTAGGAGAGGGTACGGTATCCCTTACTAACAATACCAACCTTGATACTGTTCTCATGGTTCCGTCACTTGCTTATAATCTTCTTTCGGTGGTTCAAATAACCATTACCTTAAATTGTTTGATTGTTTTTAGCCTCATTTTTGTGTGTTTAAGGACATTCAAACTCGTAGGACGATCATCACTAGCATAGATCCAGCAACGATGTCAAGTTCCAATCTCACAATAGGTCCTCTTCGCAAGATTGCAACTGCAGCTTCCAGCAGTTTATTAAATGAGGACACTTGCTGCATTGCGTGGCCTGACAAGCAATCCCATAACTCAGTTATCCATGTAAACTTAGGGAGTCTAGCATCTGTTAGTGAGAAAGAACTAGCGGAAAAAATGGCTTGGAGATTAGCCAACGGCAAGCAACCTTTCTTGTATGTCATTAGATCTGGCTCAATTTGTGGTTCCGATTGGATTGACCTAATGCCTCAAGGTTTTGCAGAAGCTATAGGAGAAAGAGGTGTTAGACTTAATATGTTCATGTGAGTTGAAATACCAAGTAATACTAACCTTGAGAAGACAACTTCGAAGGCACAGCAAGTCACACAGCAGCAAACACTCGAGCACCCTAAGATCACAAGCAAGGCCTTCTGCACATTCACCACGACTGTATAACTCAAACCTATGAGGTGTTTTCTGAGTGTTGGATTCGATGGTATGTGCAGGGACATAGCGTTAGTATTTATACGAACATAACCCTAATTCATCTTCACATAATAATGTCATTAGGATTCCTTATTGTATAAGGATACAATCTACCAAATCTCAATCCAAATAGGATAGTATCAGGAGCCCTTACTCTCCAAATATAACCAGAATATATACTTTACTTGGAAGCCAAGTTATAGATTATAACTAAACCCTAATCCTACTTACATTCCATGTCAATCCTTATTAACTATATTTATCTGTTAGCCATTGAATTAGAGTCCAACATCCAACAAGAGGTCACATTGTGTAATGGGAACCACAAAGGGAAGTTTTGGTTCATGCCACGGTGGGTGTGTTTTGGAGCCGTTGTGGTTGGAACTCAACCCTAGAAAGTTTATCGGAAGGGGTTCCAACATTATGCCAGCCGTGTTTTAGCGATCGAAAGGTGCATGCAAGGTATGAGAACCAAGTTTGGAGAGTAGGGTTTCAATTGGAGGATAAGTTAGAGAGAGGAGAGAGAGAGAGAGAGAGAGCTATTCAAAAACTTATGGCAGATGACGATGGGAAGGAAATGAGTGAGGGCCATGGAGTTGAAGGAGAAAGTAGATGTTTGTACGAGGAAAGGTAGCTCTTCCTACAATTTCTCAAATGAGCTTGTGCTCCATCATTTCATTTTAACTGAATCACTCAGGCTTGAAATAAATTTACTGTGTTAATGCTTTAGATAATAGAATCCAAACAAAGATTAGTTATCTCTATCACTGGAAATAAATACCAATCGATTCAAAATCTGTAGCATTTGTTATCACTACAAGAAAAAAAAAATTATTACGAGACGAAAACGCTTTTCGTCTGCCAAGTTTTGTAGGGATCGTTGCGTAGAATTTTACTCGATGGACTTTCATGTCCGTCGGTTAAGTTTCAACTTAGCCAACCATCGTCGTGTAGCATTTATATTACGCGACGAACATAATTTGAAACGACAAACAACTCCTGGTCGTCGTTTTATATTAAAATAAAATAGCAGTATATTCCGACAAACGTTCTGTCGATTAAAATATTCTAAACCAACGACATTTCTGTCGAGTAGGTAACTCTGATATTAAAAAAAATATTTATTATGTAAAAAGATAATTGCAGATAAAAACATGAACTACGAAAATTAAAATTTTTTATTACAACCTAGAAAAAATATATCATCCAATTGAAACAAAAATATATACAACTAAAAAAATTTGTTTGTTCAAACATATTACAAAAAAATAAAATATATATATAAAGAGAATTGTTATTGGCACTCCAAAAATCTCATTTTATACTCCAAACTTTCTATAATTAAAAAGAAAAATACAATACACTTGTGAGGAGTGTAGAATGAGATTTTTGGAGTGCTCATAGCAGTTCCCAAAAAAAAAAAAAAAAAAGGAACTGTAAACTAGGAGAGGTCATGATCATTGCTAGGGCAACTCATTGGGTGGTTGCACGAGAGGCAACTAGGACAGCTTTTGGGGAGGCTCCTAAGATGGCAGCACAAGCTCAGGCAGCAATGATGGAATCGTAATGCCAGAAGCTGATAAGCTCTAGGATACAACCATGACGTACTGGCGGGCTAATCCCATTTGACGTGCTAGCTCTTCCTCCACTTGCTGAAGTTGAGAGTCGGTCTCTATTGCTGTAGTAGAACTCGACGAAGAATAAGACACAATTTTCCAAACCCGACTTGCTCCGAGGCCGCAGATTTCCTTGCCTTTTCTTTGGCCAACCCCGTCGATCAGCACCACACCTCGAGGTCAGGTATCAACTCCTCCATAGGCATGTTAGGATGCTTCTGGGAGAGTGACGAGGACCTCGTCCTTCTTTTATACTATTGAAGCCTAAAAAAATACAAACAATACGAAGTTAGATCAATTGGAATTTAAACCTTAATTAAAGCCTTTAAAAATAAAATGCTAAGTTATGGAAGAATACTTACATAAATCCCGTCCGCAATTCGTTGCCATAAGTGGCATTGGTCTCCCCCCGTACCACCACCTCTAGGAACTTCTCCCCAGCATCCTGCTGTTCCTCGATCCGGTAAGATAGAGGTTGGGAACCTAAGTGGTGCTCGTACGCCTTCTGCTCCCAGTTTCCCTTATTGGCTGCTGATTTTGTTTTTTTTTTTTTTTTTTTTGTACATTAAACAATATTAGTTTAAATGAAGATAAAAATAAAAAAAAATTAAAAAAAACAATACAATACAAATCAAATAAAAGAGTGATGTTATTTCCACCCCCAATGTCTTATCTTCCCACCCACCTTTTAATGAATTTTTTAATTATAAATTTGTCCATTTACAAAAAGACTAATAAGGACATTAATTTTTTTTTTTTGCTTAATTAAAAAAAAAAAAAGTTGGGCAAGGGAGACAATTTATCTACCTTAAACCCTAACTCATATTTTCATCTCCTTTCATTCAGAGAAATAAAAAATAGCAATGGATTTTGAAGATGACTTTCATTGAACAGATAGAAGACGACGCTTCTACGGAAGATATAGAAGATTATGTTTCCATTGAAATGCTAGAAGAATAATTTGTGTGTAGGTCATTTGAATTTGTTCATCATATGTTTAAATTCGTTGTTGTCGAATTCTTTTGAATTTGGATACCTCTATCGTTTCCATTCGAATTTGCAGACCTTAATGGTTTTCATTTACATATTATTGTTATATTTTTTAAGACACAATTTTATAATTTCATATGTATGTATATATTAAAGGTTATTTTGGAATAATAGTTGGTGGAGAAATAGCATTTTAATTTTTTAACTTTTTAAAAAGGGTGTGATTATAACGTGGGTGGAAAAACAAAACAATGAGATGGGTCTAGTAGCTCTCTTAATATAATAAACAAAAAAATTATTCCCTAGAACTTCGCACTCTCAAAGTGAGTGCACCCAATGCCACTCATGCTGCCTCTGGTGTCGGACAAGAGTCATAGTACTGGGGGAGCTCGTACTTCCACTTCTTGTACCGTCCACTCTAGGCCTAGATGTAATCCTCACATACTTTGTCTCGCTCATTCTAACTAAAGTTGGTCTGCACATTTTCATTAACCAGAAACAAACAATGAATTAAAAACAAAATTTAAAAAAATATTTTTAAAAGATGATCTTAATCGTTAGTTGTAGACTACCGAAAGCTGGGTGCGTATCGCGTCCCGAACTTGTTGTTGATGGGAAATCCATCAATAAGTGTCCATGGGGTATTTGTTCTAGATCAGGGGCCCGTAGTCGTGGGTCAACAAATTGTTGACATTGGTGCACACTCGGCAGTGGTTGGGGAGGTAGACAATTCATCCAATGGCTATTACTTCATGATCAAGTCAACCA